CCCCAAAACCCCAAAACCCCAAAACCCCGTCAGTTTAAATTGCTTAAAAAAAGTTAGTAGATATATAGCTATATTCAATTACCATTAATGTCATAATGTTATATTTGATCTTCCAGCAAAGCATTTTAAAGATCCGTCTTTAGATCCAGAAATGAACATATTCTTCCCTGGTATCTTCATAACTTAGGTCACAATGTCATTATGCTTACTAACAATGCGACTGATATATCTCTTGTTGCTCCATATTCTAAATATTCTGCTTTCCTCTGATGTTAGGATTCTTATAATTTAAATACTCTTCTATTGATTATCTAATCCATCCAAGATGTCCATACTACACTCAGAATTGATAGCATAGTCAAATAAGATGCAAGCATGCATTAGATTTCCATTTTAACAGCCTATCAAGTTTTTCCTTTTCTAAGTTTTCAAGTCCCAGAATTCTAAAGACTCTGTAGAAATTGTGACTAGTCCATTCTTATCTAATTCTATTAAAGTATGAGCTTGATGCTTTGAGGGGAAAATGTGTAGTATTTCATAATTTATTTCATATGTAGTCTAAAATTATTCTTCAAATTGGTCATACTCATCTGTCATTATGATTTCTGGATTATTAATTTAAACTGAACTCTCATTTCCCACCTCATTAACTTTTCGAGTTTAATTTCTTTTAAGGCTAAAATTAATCACATATATCTTTTTAGCTTTCGTAAATAGGATTATCTTATCTTTGTACAAATCATTCTAGTAATTGATCATGCTAGATATTTCATCAAGTTAATTAGGGAGGATAAATTGCAAAACTACTTGCGAACTATTCAGATTCCACACTCTTACTATCTTATCCTTGCTTCCAGTAATAAAGAACATGTCTTAAAAAGGAACCAGACCAGTGATCTCTAATTGATGAGCCTATTATCCCATATCTATAGTATTGTGGAATCGTTATCATAAGCATAGCCACCTACAAGTCTATGGCCTATTTGAATCATACATCTCACAGGAGGAGGAATTTTGGTGTTCGAAGGAGTTAAGCCAAGTCTATCATCCTTATACTATAGACTCATTAAAGAATCCTTAGCATCGAGATCCCATATCTTTATACACCCGAGTTTATCACCAGTTGCAAAGTAGAGACGAGGGAGATTAGGATCTATTCCTCCAAGGTATTTATGATCAATATTTATAATTTGAGTTACAGCTCCATAGTGTTCAAGTCTGTATGCAAATCTTTCATTAAACATTACCTTGTCTACATCAATTATACTTCCACTCATTTCAACAGTGTTGAAAGCACTATTACTCTGAAAGTTATTTAGCTGAGTACTGCAATATGTCTCCATTCTTCTATTTAGTTCTTCATTCTCTCTTCTTAATTTTGCTATCTCTTCTTCAAAGTCTTAGAATTGCTTCGAAATTTTATCACTGTGATTTTTCAATGTCTTGGCATGAAGATCAAGTCTAAGATTTTAATCTTTAAGTTCCTTGACTTGGTTTTGTAAAACTTATGTTACATTCTGATCTTTTTAAACGCAGATATGAGATGATTATTCCTTTCATCTGTAGTATAAATCACATAGCCTGCATTGAATAATGTAATCAGGGCAATCTTTATATAGATGCATATCCATATCAGCTTTTTATTTGATTTCTCAGCAATAGAGGCATCTTTAAGGAAGCAATAGACATTTGTATAGATAATGCTCTTATTCATTTTTGAATGTTTTGAAGCATATGCTACATTTATTATTAGTAATGATAGAATGCTCATTATTTAGACCCTCAAGTATTTTACCTGGTTTATATTTGCTTCTAGGTTTTTGCATTTTATATAAGGGCCTCTTAAGGGCAATTAGCTCTTCTTCAGACATATTAAGAGTCTTGATGTAATTGTTAATCTCAATAGTCAAAAGTGGAGATGCTGCTAAAAATGTGCTTCCTCTACATTGGATCTTATCATTTGGGCATTTGTTCTGAGTTGAAAGGTATTAAGGGTCGGTAAAGCATATCTAGCAACAGACAGTATGGCATTTTTAGCAGGATAAAAGAGGTGGAATTAAAATTGAATAGCAGATTCTGCATTTCAATCTCTCATCAAGGTCTTCCAACATTACAAATTATGCTATATGCTGTATTATTCAATAAATTTGAATAATTCGAGTTTGATGATTGAATATTCAAAATTTGTTATAATTTTAACCTAACGGGGTTTTGGGGTTTTGGGGTTTTGGGG